CCCGTCTTCGTATGCGCTCGGCTTGGACCAATTGTGCTTCGAGCAAACGGCTATTGGTGATGTGTAGTCCTGCACATTCCAACACAGTTGGCAGATTCTTCGAGAAAGGAGCTAGGGGCCCTGGATTGCAAGAATTGATGGGACGGAAACCTTTGCACGGACAAGCACCTGCACACAAGCAAATGCACGTATTGCATAGAAATTCTTGTCGTGTCAAGCCCATCTTCAACCACTCACTGACTATGAGGTCTCTTGATTGCATGGAGTTAGAAAAGCAATGCAAAATAGAAGTTAGTGTTGAAGCATAAACCAAATTTATCTTTCAACCGTACGAGTACTACGGCACGCTCTCCGCCGCCCAAAATTGGAACATGTATAGCGTGCTTGAAAAGGGATCTCCACAATCTGAAGTCACGGCTTGCAATCCCTCGAGTGAGACGATTGGACAGTTTCAAACAATTTCGGACGCCTTTTTCTCACCTCACTTGAGCGCAGCTTTGAAACAATTTCTGGTAACAGAAAAGCGAAAAGCGGCATCTCCATGTGTCAGCGTCCATTTCCGCTTGGAGCCTACAGTCTGAACGCAAAGTTCTGTTTGACTTGGATGTGCTCAGTCCGGTGCCAAATGCGTAGGCGGTGGCATTTCCTCCTTAGCACTTGACTCGTGAAGTACCCTTTTTTACATCATAAATTCCCTGGAGGATGTTTTACCACTCTTTCAGCAAGTGCGTAAACGCGTGTAAACGCAAATCTTCTCAAATTACTATTTTCTTCACATGTTGGACTCATCTTTCATCTTGTTTCATCTGGTTTCTGTGCTTCGTTAAGCAAAGCGAAGCAAAAAGTGAAGCAATTGGGGCAACTGAGCATTGTGCAGCTCGCGGTGGCAATGCTCTTTCCAAGGCTTGGAGCGCATCCACCTCTGGTGCTTTCGAAAAAATGAAGCGAAACAAACCTAATGGCGATGGCCTCCACCCTAGTAGCAATGGCCTCCACCCTAGTGGCGATGGCCTCCACCCTAGTAGCGATGGCTTGCACCCTAGTAGCGAGGCCTCGACCCTAGAAGCGATGGCCTCCACCCTAGTAGTATTGATGGCCTCCAACCTAATAGCAATGGCCTCCAGCCTACAGTAATTGCGATGGCCTCCAACCTAGAAGGAATGACCTCCAACCTAACAGCGATGGCCTCCAACCTAATAGCGATGGCCTCCAACCGTTCCTTTTGCACGTTTCACCTAAAAATGAAAACCGAGAAAGGCCAAGGGCCGCCTTAGTCCAAAACAACTGAACACAATGATTTATGATTAAGAAGGGGTTGTTAAACACAACAGTGCACGAAAAATGTAGCAAATTGTAGTAGACATGTCTGTTCGAAGGTTGGCTGCCTTTCGATTGTTAGAGCATCTTTCTAAGTTGACCTTTAAAGCAACATGACAGAATGGATCCCCCGATCGCTGTTTGACAAGTGACCTAAGACAGTAACAACTAATTGCATCAAAAGAGTAGCCTTTCAGCAAATTCCGACCGCAAAGTAGACAAGACAAGACCCAACAATTGCAATCTTAGGATATCTTAGGCATCGTTTTTGAACAAACGATGTTCTCACTTGTCAGTTTGAACACACTTTTTTGCGGCTCTGGCTGTGCGCTGCAAGAGCTGGGTGGTGGCCACGGGACTTGGCAGCACAAGGAGGATCTTTGGAATAAAAGTCGACATGAAAACTCCAACGCAGATCATCTGTTCTCATCTGTTCTCTCTTTTTGTCCTGTTCCTTCTTCCTTTTTCTATCTTTAAACATCTCTTTCTTCCTTCAGCGAGGCATATTTTGCAGAAGTATCAACAAATCATCCTTTGTGCAATATGATCTCAGGTTCTTGCTCCAACTCGGCCTAAGAAAAGGAAAAGAAATGATAACAAAAAGGAAAGAAAAAAGGAGAACAGAAAAACAAACAAACAAAGAAAAAGGGAGAACAAAGAGTCCAACGGAGACTTTGGCACAAACTCTGCCGAGCGTCTGGAGCAGCCGGAGGCGTCGCTGGAGGGGGTGCAGCCTAGCGCTGCTGTCAGTGTCTGAAATTTGCAGCATAGTGAAGCAATAGTAAGAATTCTTTTTATACAGTTATATACTTCATACTTAAGGTCAGGGTACTTCTTGTGCGCTTTTCAACAGCCAAGCTTCGCAGAAAATGTGCTGGATGGCCCCTCGTGTAGTTTTTCAATGTTGTCTTGACAGGTGGTTTGACGAAAATGTTCTGGGAGGCAGGTTTACAGGTTTCGGAGGAGATGTGGATGATGTGCACAACACAGCGCACGACATGCTTCAATACAAGAACCTCACTCATGAACAAGATACAGTCGTCCATGTGACACACCGGTACGCTGTGGTATGTTCCAAAGCTCTCTTTGAAGCTCTGCGCTCTGCACCTTCCACCGGATTTTGTGCAAACGTCACCACCACAACACACACACAACGCTACATCCTCGTATTTCTTCGAACTACACGAAAGCTGGCTATGTGGTTGATGTGTACGTCAGCGTGTCTGGATTGATTGTTTCAAAAAACATCCGTGCGTAAGAGCATCGCTACTAGGAACAAGAAGCTACTAGGGGCTCCTGGCCTTACTACTAGCAGCAAGCACGCTACTAGAACCTCCTGGCCTTACTACTAGCAGCAAGCACGCTACTAGAACCTCCTGGCCTTACTACTAGGAACAAGGACGCTACTAGGAGCAAAGATGATGCGGCATGCGGCGGATGCGAAGGGCTTCTTGTGGCCTGTTGGGACGATTGTTCGAGCCTGCCGCGCGGCCACTTCGTTAGTCCAAAACTCCTGAGCAAAATCTGAAAATGGCCTCCAACCCAAAAGCAATGGCCTCCAACCTAGTAGCGATGAG